AAGCATGTTATTGTTGCAAGTTTTTAAGGGAAAGTGGTCTTGCTTTTACAAATTCCACTTAGCTGGTATTTTTGATGTTATATCAAGGTCATTTCTTCCCCTATGGCCCCACTAACAGACTTAAAATTATCTGTACTCTGCATTATTGGGTATCTCTTCTAAAACACTGAAGTTATATTTCATTGTGAACAAGGCAAGTGCTAAGTTACAATGGGTACAAGTTTTTCAAAAGGGAACAAACACCTGGAAAGGAAAGAAACGGAAACCCAATGCTTTGCTTTCGAGGAGATTTCCAGGTTCTTGTGCATATGGATGCTTGAAATCCTTAGAAGAAAACAGTTTCCATCAGTCCAATGAGAGGCAAATTTATTCTGAGTTAGCGTCTCCTGCCCGGCAGCTCCAATCATCTCTTACATTCCGAGGTTGCTACAGATCAGGAAAGACCTTGTCTATCTGGACTCTTCACATGTGTGACTAACAAATGAAATTACATCACTTTCCTGTGTATCACAGGCTCCTTACTATAAGCAAGTGCCCCTGGAAGGAGGTGAGGTGGGATTGTGTATTTTTAACTTAACATCCTGTACACACCCCATTGCCAAATAAAGAGTTTCAACAGCCAAGGAAACAGCTGGGCCTGTTAGCAGCTTTCTAATGACCATCTAAGCTTGGCATCTGGTCCTTGGGTCAATGTCTGGGTCAATTTCATGATCTCCAGAATAATTTTTTTCCTTTTAAAAAAAAAAAAAAAGCATTCATTTGTATTACGGTGCATTTTCCTTTATTGAAATATTCTAAGAACAAAACCCTTAAGGGCCTGCTTGTCCTCACCCACTTATTCCTAGTATCTGGCCTTTGCTGCTTTTTTCCCAGACCATGGTGGTCTTCCTAAGAAACATCTGGATGGTATGTTTCATGAGTGAAGTGAACATCTTTGCTATCTCATTGTGCCCCTGAGCCTGAGCTCCATGTTCTCAGATGTTTGCCAAACATGTTCTGTCCCTATACCAGTCACGTGATTAACTCCTTTTTGAGGCAAAAGGGAGAAATGCAGATATCACCTAAACACAGAAGGTGGGGGAACTGACTGATGGAATGATATAGAGGTTCTGAGAACATTCAAATTTCTATAAATACATATTAAGGCAAAAAGCATAAAAAAAATCCTTTTCAAATTCAGTGAGACACATCAGACTTCTACTATAAGGAGAAAGAAAGGCTTTTAGCATCAATGTCAAATTTTCTCCTCGTATGAACAGACACAAAACTCACTTTAATATCACTAATAACCAATTCATAAACTTGATAATATTCAACAGAGACACATTGTGGTGGTTTGAATGTAACTGGCGCCCATAATCTCATAGAGAGTGGCACTATTAGGAGGTGTGACTTGATGGGAGTGAGTATGGCCTTGGAGTATGAAGGAAGTGCGTCACTGTGGGGGCGGGCTTTGAGGTTTCCTATGCTCAGGATAGCACCTAGTGTCTCAGTTGACTTCCTGTTGCCTGCAAGATGTCGGACTCTCAGCTACCTCTCCAGCACCATGTCTGCCTGCATGCCGCCATGCTCCCCGCCATGATAATAATGGACTGGACCTCTGAACTGTACTCGAGCCACCCCAATGAAATGTTTTCCTTTTTATAAGAGTTGTCATAGTCATGGTGTCTCTTCACAGCCATAAAAACCCTAACGGAGACACCTTGAAGACATGGTACCACCAAGGGAATGTGGTGAGTATGGCGCGTGGTTCTCACTTTACTTCATGCGTGACTACCGGTGGCTATGGATGATTAAAGTGAGGGGTGTAACTGACATTAAGGGGAAAGCACATGCTTCATGATGGAGTGAAGCATAATCTGGGACAGTGACCAAGCATGCCGTGTTATGAGGTTTTTGTTTTGTTTTGTTTTGTTTTGAGCCTTTGCACACATTTCCTTCTTTAACACACACAAGAATTCCTCGAATTCCTTTACCTTTGCCAGATGAGCATTCGGGGCCCTGGGACAATCATGTCATCTGTTCAAGACAGTACAGTTAGTCGGGGGTGGGTCAAAACAAGAATCCCGATCCTTGGCTCTTACGTATGAAGGAAATTTAGGTCCCATTCTTTCTCCTTTCTTTACCTCTCGCCCCTGACATACACAGACAGAGACTGAAAATCCAGAAACGGAAACTCCTATCAAAGTGATAGACGTGAAGTCTAATCAAACCAGAGGAGAGACTAGACCAAAGGAGGCAATAGACAGTAGAAGGATCCCTAACCATCTCTAGTTAGCCTGCTCGTAAGGATCCCTGGACCCACCAATCCCCCGTGCGGGATGCCAGATTCTCTTCAGATCTAAAGGTGAACCAGCTCTTGATTAAATATCCGAGTACTGATCCCAGTTACACTAAATGCTCTTTTCCAGGTCACTCCCGTGCATCGGTACGATTAATAGGACAGGGTGTGTACCTGATGCCTCTGATGTGAAGAGGCAGCTGAGGTGACTCCAGGGCTTGCCATGGTTGGTGAGAAACCCAAGGAGGGAGTCAAGACTGAGAAGAAGGATCACATTAACTTGAAGGTGGTGGGCAGGATGGCTCTGTGATACGGTTTAAGATGAAGAAGCAAATGTCGCTAGTAAACTAACGAAAGCCGCTAGGAAACGATTGTGAATGACACAGGCTAGTCAACGAGGTAGATGAGATCCCAGTCTGATGAGCTACACCCGACGGCACAGACACACCTGCATGGTTGGAAGTGGAGGAGGAAGACATGATTGATGCATTCCAGCAGCAGACAGGAGGTGTCTACTAAAAAGGGAGCCGGCTACTTTACCCCAGGGTTTTTTGTTGAATACATTCTCAATTAGAAAGTCTCAGTCTGGTTCTATCACATCCTAGTTTTCTCTGTTCTTTCATTTCCCCTTCCCACTCCTTTATTAAACACATGCACATTGTGCTTTCTTTCTTTTTCTCTCCTTCCTCCCTCTCTCCTTCTCTCTCTCTCTCTCTCTCTCTCTCTCTCTCTCTCTCTCTCTCTCTCTCTCTCTCTCTCTCTCTAAGTAACCGATGTTCTATTCTGGTCAGCATCACATGGAACGGTCTGGGGAAGGCACTGGTTCTGGGGAAATACCCCCTCCCTCCTTTAGTGGCATGTTCACTCAGCTCTTATCTCAAAAACCCGGGAAGTTATTTTGTTTGCATTGATTTAATTAAAAAGCTCCATGACATAGACTCTCTGTATACCTTGTTCACTTGGAGAATTTCACTTGTCATTGTGCAACCACAGACAGGCTTGTAATCTGTAATATAGATGTTCCATGTAGGGTAGGGGTAAGTTACATTGGAAAAAAATGAATCCTTAAATCCCCTTCAAGTAGGTATCTTCTTATTTATATAAACTTATTTTTTAAAAGATTTATAGGATATATTTTATTTATTTATTTATTTATTTATTTATTTATTTATTTATTAGTAAAAGAACTTTAAAACAAAACAACCTACAAGAATAAAGGGAACTAACTATTTGGCCTCTAAACCAAATACCAAGTCAATCCAGTCAGTTCAAGCATCTATCTACAACTCAAGGAAATCAGTGAATGTAACCGTTGGAAAGAATCGTACTTAGCATAAAGCACAAGCCGACTTCCTATGGAAAATGCAGTGATTTCTTCCTCCATACAAACCTCCCGGCAAAGAATGCCACTGAGCAGAACGCCTTTCTGGGACTGCCTGCGCCGTCGCCAATAGAAGACATACAAGCAAAGAGGAAACACGTTGTCTAGGAAAAATACACCATTTCCTTTACTTGCCTCTCCCAAGTAGAGCTGCTCTTCTTCGGGGATCAAATCAGGGGCTTGCTACAATCACACACACACACACACACACACACACACACACACACAAAGTTCCGTTCTCACAGCCAATAAAAATTAGAAGCCGGGTGAGCCAGTGAGGGTCACACAGCTGTTCCCAGGAAGCCAGGGTCCCCATGGCTGATACTTTCCAAGCACTCTTACCCATCCTGAAGATCATGTCTAGAATCTGGGTACCCTCCAATAAACCAGCACCTCTTAAGGAGAAAATTGTACACACCCTTTAAGCATTCTGTATTTGGTAGAAACAGTTGTGCGAGCCACCAAGGAAGTGGGTATGAACTGCAGGGCTCTGAAGCACTGGGCTGGGCTGGAATCAACTCACCCACCAGTTCTGGGGCTGCAGAAAAGATGAAGATCTATGGAGGACCTTAACTCGAGGACATTGGAGGGGCGGTTCTCAGCCTGTAGATCACAATACCTTTAAGGGTCGCATATCGGATTTGGGCCTATCAGATGGCTACGTTGTTGATTCATGGCAGTAGCAAAATTGCAGTTATGAAATAGCAATGAAAATAATTGTATGGTGTGGTGGTGGTGGGGTTGGTCACCACAACATGAGGAACTGTATTAAAGGGCCACAGCATTAGGAAGGTTGAGAACCACTGCATCAGAGGGTACCCCAAAGGCATTGGGTATGGAAAGCAGAGATTTATCTGGTCGAAGGTATTTCCCTGGCTGATTTTCTCTGTAACTGATTGCAACTTATTTCATTTTAGTCTTGCTAATCCCAGGACTTCAAAGATCTCATCTGTTGACCATTCCGTTGCTTATTAGAAAAAGTGCACGGGTCTTTTGATTCATCAGTGGGAAGGGGAATCCTTTAGGATGCTTAGGAACTAGCAGGTCTGTATTTAGTCTCTGTGCATGAGCAGCCGAGCCAGCACTGTGCTCACTGGAGTGGAACAGTCGTGGGACTCTTTGATTTCTAGAAATAAGTTTGTGATGCCTTCCCTGTTACTGACCCATGAGTGTAGATAAGAGGGCCACCAGATTACAGTGTGAGCTGCCTGAGGACACTCAGAGACATGACCAGATTTCCAACCTATTGAAGAACCTGAAGTTAAGAAACCTTCCAGTTCCAGACCTTGAATATTAGAGTTGTGTCTAAATGCCGGAGTCCTCTTAGCAGAGACTTTCTGCTCTGCCCTGTCCATACTCATGACCCAAAGAACAGGTAAGCGTAATGAAATAGTTGTTTATTCATATCGGTGTAGTCCCAGAAAATTGATTAAGCAGCAATCGACAACCATATGTACAAGAGAGAGAATAAACCCACTGTTTGCAGAACCCACACCTGGAATATGATCCTTAGCTCTGCGGAACACATTTCAGAAAAATTAAAAAAAAAAAAAATGTACTCAGAAGCAAGTAACAAGAATGTTCCTTTATGCAGGATAAAGTAGGGGTGAAAGGGTTGGAGATAATTAATTGTCCTCAGATATTCGAAGGCTTACTGTGAATGAAAGTGGGAAAAAAATACTTTACATGTTCCAGGAGGTAGGCATAGAGGTGGGGGTTGTTTCCAAAGTGGAGTGCAAAATTTTTCTTTCTTTCTTTTTTTTTTTTTCAAAGTCCTGAGCATTTGTGGAAGGAAGAGGAGGGCCTGGGGGCAGTGTGATCCCTTTGTAATGGGGCATAGATTGGAGGATGGAAATGTAGATAAGGTTGGGAGAGAATTCATTTATTGGAAAACAGGGCTCCATAAAATGCCTTTCCTTTAAGGTTCCAGTACAACACTAAGATGTTTTTAATCTAAAGATCATCCCCATTTCCTTGTGCTAAGAAATCTAATCCTAACACATGTGGAGCGGAGAGGGGGGAAAAATACAAGATGAATACATTAAATGAAAGGCAATAGCGAAGTATAAATAGAAAGTGATGCGGAACTTGAGGAGAAAGGAACAGGAAAGGAAGAGGGAAAATTCACCCCAAAAGAGTAAGAGAGAAACGTTCAAAGGTGGGGGGAGCAGGAACAGACCAGGGAAGAGCTTTAGGGGAGGAGGAGGAGTAACATAGACAGGCTGGGGCCAGACAACGCCTGCCACCTTCTTGAGAAACAGCGTCCGTCCTTGACGGTGGAGACGTCACTGGAAAAGACATTCCAGAGACCGTGGGTAATGCGCCTGGCACCATTGTCCCTATGTAGAATGATAATTAAGGTTCGCTGGGACTGCTGGAAATGACACCTGTTTCCTGGAGAAACCCACGTGATAAAGAACACGTAAAGCACCCAGGAAATGGGACTAGCCCCAAAGAAGGGCCGGAGAGGAAACCACCAAGAGAAAAACATTTGAAAAAAAAAAAAAAATTATCTCGTTCATGTTTGGTCTGCGTTTTATCACCACTGTAATCAACTTCTGAGGGTTTGTAATAACTTTAACTCTAGTTCCTCAACCCATAAACACACCGTCATTGTTACCCTTTGCAGGAAGAGTGGGGGACTCCTCTGATGTGGAAAGAGACAGAAGGAAGGAGTCACCTCCAGGAACAGAGGCAGGGAGTTCTGGAGACAAGTGGTAAGAAACCATCATTGGTCATCAGCCTCAATCTCCCAAAGACTCATCACACCATAAGGTACCGATTCACATCATCCACAAAATACAAGTTTTTTTTTCCACTTTCATTTTAAAAAATATATTCTTTTCCTTTGAAGAATGGAAATTGAATCTCGTTACTCACCCATTTCCTAGGTCTGCCTCTTGGCCGTTTTTCTCCAATGGCCTCTGCTTTCTGGAAAAAGAAAGAAAAAGAAAAAGGAAGTCATGTCTGACGTTATTTACAGGTGCCGGACCAAGGACTCTCCTCCCAGTTAGAATGTTCTGGACTGCAGATGAGGTATCAAGAATGTCTTAACAACTTCTTTTTCTTGGATACTCCGTCTTCTGTGTTTTTTAGTGGATGTTTCGTCACTCTTCGCTGTGTGATATAAAGAGGTATCTATGCAACCCCTCACCATAAAAGACTCCCATGGAGTGGTCTCTTATGAAATGCATGAATACGCTTTTGTGAAATCCACTTTGCCTTTGTTTCTGATCAGACAAAAGAAATATTCCCACACCCCATAATTTATGCAAATTAATATTTTACAGAATGAACATTCTTTCAATGGTCAAGACTCTCTTTTCAGTTACAACTAGTCATAGAAACTAATATAGACATTAATTTTAAATAATAATGTACTTCTTTCTACGCCACTATGGAAGGCAAGTCTGAATGTAAGAAATAATGCATAAACACTTTAATAAGAAACAATGGACATCTATCAAGTTCTACATGGCTAATTTTCTGTTCTTTGCCCAAAACAATCACCTGTTAATCAATTGCCTAAGGCAGGGAGAGAGGAAGACAGACAGACAGATAATTAAAATAAAACAGCAAAAAAATCACCAATATTTGTCCCAGAGATTTAAACCATAGCTGCATAAAAATTATTAAATAAAAATTGGGATTAACAATAATTCCACACTCAACATGACATAGATCTATTTCTTGTTATCTTTCAAGTTTGTTTCATTGCTATACTGTATAGATTTTTCTGATAATAGTAGTTTATTTCTATTTTAGTTCCAATTTTAAAATTCATAAAGTAATTAACCTTAGTCACCCTTACTCCATTCCCTAAGCATGTCACTACACTGATACACACACACACACACACACACACACACACACACACACACACATCTACCTTCTATAAAAAGCACACATACTTTTCTGAATAAAGAAAGCTGAGTACTTATTGTTTTGTGTATAAGAACCTTCCCAAGACCTCTCATGCAAAAATCTAGGCAGACTGAGTTGGAACAACTTGTTTTGGGATTTGTTACCTGAGTTAACAGCCAGTGGGTCTTGGTACCGCGATACTAAAATGAGATATTAAGAGCCTGTCGTGCCAAATGAAACAATCTTTCCCCTCTTCTACTTACCTAATAAAAACAGATGAAGATAGGTAGATAGATAGATAGATAGATAGATAGATAGATAGATAGATAGATAGATAGATAGATAGATAGATAGATAGATAGAAAGTAACATGGATAGAAACATGGATGGATGGATGGATGGATGGATGGATGGATGGATGGGTGGGTGGGTGGGTGGGTGGGTGGGTGGATGGACAGACAGATAGTGAGGCAGGTTTGGTAAATGATAGACAGACAATCTACAGATAGACACCTGGCATTGCTATCCAGCCATGGGTTAATCCAGGCCCACAAATGTCAGAAGCTCTATATGATTATAACTTTACCTCCAATTTTTAAGCATTTAAAACACTCTGGTCTAAGTTAGGTACGCATATTACTTTAACCAACTTACAGCAGGCTTGTAACAGGAACATCAGGATTTCATTTACTCTGCAGATGAGTGACTAAATCCTAAATGAGTTAGGACACACATAATGCCAGTAAGTGATGCACCTAAGATTCGAACCCAGCTCTGCTTGATTTCCTAAACTGCTGCTACCGTCCACCCACTGCTTGAAAAGGCTGTGGTAACAGCCACTGACTTGGCTCATTTCTGAGAATTAAGAGAAATTCGGGAGCTCTTAGGATCTTTAGCTAACTGTCAGACTTGGCTGTCAGTTGTTTCTGAGTCAACCAAGGATTTCTTTAAGGTCAAACTTAGTGCACTCTCTCATCTTTAGTCATGAGAGCATAGATTTTAAGGTAAGTGAAAGCTGGGGATGCCCAGAAAACCACACAGCCTTTCTCAATTGTCCTCTGGAAGGATGAAGGTGTCATGCTTTAGAAAGCTTGGGTCCAAGACCTTTCTCAGATATTCTAGCTTTATGACTGGGGATATGTCCCTGGAAGCCTTATTTTGATTTCCTCTGTAAAGTAGAGATGAGCTCTCCTTTGAGGGGACATTAAGATACTTAGAAGTGCCCACCCTAAACAAGACGCCTCAAGTTAGTCTAATCCCACAGACAGTTGAGTCAAGGCAAAAATATTCCAGTATACTCAACCATCTCCTTTAGAAGAAAACTGAAGAAACACAAGGCTGGAATACAGTGAGTTGTAAAGGATCACAGGCCCTTGGGAGAGAGCAGAATTTGAGTGCATTTTGGAAGTAACTATAAGATTGCACAGTTTACCCAGTGATGAATTACAGGAACAAGAAACACAGAAATCCTTTCTCATGGGAACTGGGTGGTCCTTGGAGTAGAGAGGAGGCTGCTATTAACCTTGAAGGTAACAGTGCTCTGCCAGGGATTTCTATATAATTCTTACATCCTGGGGGCTATGATATGACCTGGGTGTATCTGAAATCTAACGAAGAGAAGGAGTTCTCTAAAAGGGGTTTTCCTGCATTTTAAAGTCAGAGAAAACAGATCTCTCAAAGAGGGAGGGGAGAGGAAGCCTTGCAAATACGATAACGTTTAAATGAGTATCCCATTCACAAAAAGCCCATTGAGAAACAAAATTCATACCATTAACGAAAGGGCACAAGACCGCGATTATCACTTGGACTTGTTAAAAGTAAACTTGCTCCTTGGGCATAGAGGCTGGTGTCCCATGTAAACTGAAACCCACTTCTGAGATGACATCTAGGAGGAACATGCTGGCTGCACTGTGTGGCCTCGATCTGGGAGGCTTGATTGTTCTCTAAAACCCACATTACTGGATCACTCTGATCAAACTCCACAAAGGCTGCAAAACAAGCTGGGCTTTTAGTTTGTACACCAGAGCAGCTCCAGGGTTTTCAGAGACTGGAAAACTGTGGTTTTAACAGCTTTTGTGTATTGTGTCTCCAATGCTCTTTGGGGCGTTGTCTTTCAAAGAAGGCAAACAAAACATCGAGGGTACTTGTTTTAAAATATCAACATATACAATACTGTAAAAGCGAATGTTTGCCTTGCCTTTGCTGGGATAGATTTGGGGTCTGGATTCCATGTACATGTATAATTGAGACCTAACTACTTCTAAGTGTTTTCAGCTCTTCTAGAGGGGAGCAGGGAGAACCAGTAGGCTTTCTGCATTTGTGAAAACTAGGATTTCAGACTTTGACCAGCACCATTACAGAAGCACCCACATCGCTCACACCACAGCTTATTCAAGGTGCTCTCTTCCTTGGTTGGCTCCACTATATTCTTTATGTCTTTGTAAAGTACATAACTCAGAACTGTGTCCTAAATTTTAGATGTCGAGAAGCAAGTTTGTGAAAATGTGGTGGGGGTGGGGATGCTAAATAGAAGATGTATTTCTTTATTTAAGAAGTGCTGGGTACTCTAAGCTTATTTAATGTTTTAACATATTTTAAAAAAGGAAATTGATCTTGTGACCATCTCCCTTGACTTTGGAAATGGTGATTATGGTTAGTGTGGATCTATTAGAGGCGCGATTCACTCACTACCAGTTTGTGAAAGGAAGGAAAAGAGAGAGGGATGAAAGGGGGAGGAAGGAGAGAGGAAGAAGAGAGACAGCGGGGAGCCGGGAGACCGGGAGGAGGGAAGCATTGGTGTTTGCTGTGTGTTTTGTTTTCCTACCTACCACCAAACCTGAAAGCTTCATAAAACTTCAAAACCACCTCTTGGAGGCCTTTCACTTGACAAAGAAGAATATATTTGGCTTATTGCAATCCCCAACACTTGTGGATTTACTTGGGGGTTCGAAGTCTCTGCGTATTAGTGGCAGAAGACACACATTTCTCTGCCCTCGTGTCTCCAAGGGAGCCACACTTCACGTTCCTCACACTTCTAATTGAGTCTGTATTCAGGTCATTGAGGAAGCTGAGAGACGTCAGCCTTGTGGTTGGTAGTGTATAAACACTGACCAGTGCCCGGAAGTGAGAAGGATGAGTCTGAGAAGAGTTGAACACTGGACATTGTGTCAGTTCACAATTTTGAATCAGTTTTTTTTTTTTTTTTATCATTTGTGAAGACCACAGAGAGAATTTTCAATGAGAAATCTACTCGTGAAGGCCCAGCAAGACTGCTGTATTGAACAGGCGCACTCAGTTGTTAGGTAACTCTACTACTTTACAACAATGGCCGTGCGAAGAGTTCCTACTGAGCTTGGAGGTCTCCACAGTGGCATTCCGAGAACATTTCATTTAACTCCTTCCCTGGTTTCCCACTTCGTGGGAGATTCTGTGACTTGCCGACCTTCGCAGGGAATGGAACTTGGACTCGACCTGCTGTCAAGACGAGAGAGCTCTTTTCTTGGCTGAGATAGTCTCAGATATAAAACAGAATGGCCACACTCTAGGCAAGGTGTGAGGAGAAGAAGAGATTTTTTTTTTAAGACCAAGAAAAGAAAATTTTAAAAAGAAGAATGCGCCTTAGGATAAATGAGTAGTTAGAGCAAAATGTTTTCCCTCTTCCTGTATTGCTGTTAAGATATGAACAAGGGCCGTGGCTGGGAACTAAGAGACGAATTCAAGTCTGACTTCAGGTCAGGGGTAAACATTCAGAGAGCTATTCAATTCTTATAATTCTAAATGCTCTCGTCATATTTTTGTGTTACAGTGGGCATTACCTACAAGCCAGCACATTCCTACTTCAAACCAGTAAGTGTTTAAACACAGAAAAAGAACTAGGAAAAGAAAAAAAAAAAAAAAAGCTGCATGAGAAAGTGGCTTGGTTTGTCTTCAGATATTTGTATTTTGATTTTTTTAAAAAAGACTAAACCCTGCTTGAACCCAATAGTATGCAGAAACACAAGAGGGTATGAAACTTAAGGATATCTAATCAAAATCTAGAAAAATAAACAATTTCTTCCAACTTCTCT